AATCGGCAGGTTGTCATTTTCATGCGCAATTACTTAAAAACTGGCAATGAAAGGTCATTCGAATTCTGCCGCAGCCGCGACACGCAACGCACCCGCGCCGCCGTGAAGTGCGCTCAACATTCATGAATGTTGCCCGCTGCGTTTTGTACGCGCCGCGGCTTTCGCCAAGACGCATTTTCCGGAAAATCATTTTGTCGAGATGCGATTTTGTAGAAACATCATTATGCCGACATTCTATCGTATTTTTTTGAAATTTCAGTTGTGCAATATAATTCTTTCTAGATATCATTCATCCAAAATCGTTTCATTTTTTCGAATATAACATTCTGCCAACATTTTGTCGAAATATCATTTTCCCCAAAATTTCACGTTGACCAAATCTCTTCTTTTTGACAAAAGTTGATTTGTCAGCCATAATTGTTTCCAAATTTCAGTTGACGGGAATCGATTTCGTGAGATAAAATTGTCAAAGAGTTAAAAAGCCGAATTCAAAGCGTGAAAATAATCGTAAAAACCTCTCATTTTGCGTAATTTGTCCCATTACTGTAGCTACTCTTTAACTTATTATATACTCCTTAGTACATGAATTCCTTAAACCTATAGGAAACTAATAGAATCAGCTGATTCTGGCATAAAAAGTGTTTCTTGGTGCAAAAGCATCATCCTTCTTCGACCTGGTTCAATAAATCTTGGTAACCTAGTTGATGAAGTTCCCGAATTAATTTGGAAACGACTATAAAAATCAAAGCGTTAACAAATCAAAAATCATTTTCGTCACTCGCTAGCTCTCTCTCACTCTCTCTCTCACGCTCTCTCTCTCTCTCTCTCTCTCTCTCTCTATCGCTCGCTCTCTCTCGCTCTCCCTCTCCCTCTCTCTCTCTCTCTCTCTCTCTCTCTCTCTCTCTCTCTCTCTCTCTCTCTCTCTCTCTCTCTCTGGCTCTCTCTCTCGCTCTCTCTCTCCTTCTCTCTCACTCTCTCCTTCCCTCTCTCTGTCGTTTCATTCTGTCGAAATATCATCATGTCGAAATGACGTCGAATCGTCGAAATACCATAGCTAATATTAAACTTATTATGTACTCCCTAGCATACCAATTGTTTCAACATATAGGAAACTAATAGAATCGACTGATTCTGGCATAAAAAAGTGTTTCTTGGCAGACAAGCATCATCCTTCTTTGAGCTTTTTTAATACCAACTCTTCGCACGTCATTTGATGAAATTCCCGAATTAATCTAAAAGCATCTATAAAAGCCAAAACGCTAAAACAAAAAAATGTATTCGTTTAGTGTACCAGGACACACACGTGATGATCTTCGTCGGCTTCGGCTTCTTGATGACGTTTCTGAGGAGGTGAGAAAATCGCTTTAGCGTAGTTTTTACTTTAATTGTTACATTTTACGTAGTTTTTTACTTTTAATTTCATTCAATTTACTGTAAAACATTTTTATTGAACGCAACTATGAAACGTGATTAACGATAGTTCATGACAACACATTTTTATTAAAAACCTGTAACAGGTAAGGCTTTACTTTACCCCCCCGTTTTTCAAAGCTGCCAAATGGCTGCCCAAGGTCTCAGCTCTTATCCCCGAGCCGGGAATTGCGAAAATAATAAATATTATAATTTATACAATTAAATTAGCGTCTAACAGCTTTCCGAACTTTGCTTGTTTTTGATAAAACTTTTTATATGACATTATTTTGAGCTGATATTAAAACTCGTACTTATTTAGTGAGTATATTTTTTGCTTCTCCACCGAATGGCCTTCCAAAAACCCCAAAAAATCGCAAAAATTTGGGAAATTGGAAGACCCTTTGACTTGGGAGGAGGGGGCAAAGTTTAGCACTGAAGACCGTTTTCGAAAAAATGTTTTATAACTTTTAGAACTTAGAATAGATTTTTTTCAATGAATTTTATCCGTCAAGGAAATCGATTTCCACAAACTTTACTTATAACGAATTTATAGTTTTACACACCTTATAATTTTTTGATTAAATAATACAAATTTCTTAAAATTCTAATAGTAATATTTTAATTCCAGGTACGGCTTCTCGGCGCTGTCTATCAACCTCCTACTGGCCGTAATTTCAATCGAATGGGCGTTGCTCATTCGCGGCTTTGTATCCGACGATTTCCGCGAGACCGGCAAATTCCAGATTGGACTCCAGAGGTATTTGGCATTTAATTCTATTAAACGATGCATACATGTAAAATAATACAAGTATTAATCCTCAAGCTATCTAGCTTATTGGAGCACTTTCAGGGTGCATGTTTCAATTTTTTTGCGGCGTATCTTCGAAGCAGAGTCCACCAATTTGACTCGTTCTATAAGTTAAACATAAATTTGTTTATATTGATTTTACGACGCTTTAACTAAATTTAAAGTGGAAAAGCTTTTCAGCAAAGCGAGAAAGATGCCTGAAAAGCTCCAAATTTTGGTCATTTTGGGTCGAAAAGGACAAATTTACGAGTTAAAACTAAAGTTTTCATTGAAATTTGTAGAGTAAAGGCTCAGGCATAGTTAAAAAAGTATCCGCATCCACAATAAAAAACTCTATGCTTGCGTCGGAAAGAGCCCATTTTTCCAATTTTTCCAATATGTTTCAAAAAATTTCTTAACTAGCTGTGGATGGTGTCCTATAATTCCGCGAGGGTCTTTTTACCAAATTCACCGGGAATCCATAAAAATCTCCAAAATTAGAATCTCGAATTTTCTAAACCCCGAATTTTTAATTTTTATTCTTAATTTTTATCGAAAAAGATTTTTGTTTTAGCTTAAATATTGTAATATAAAAAAGTTAAAGAAAACAGAAAAATTACTTTTGAAACTCGGCCTGGCATGCTAGCGTTTTTGCTAGTTTTTCGCTAGTTTTTCGATATTTTGAAGGCACCATTCGATAGAACATCAAAAACTCTTCTAGAGTTTTAATTTCTTCTCAAAACAGCGTAATTAAAAAAATAGTTATAACAAAAACAAATTTAAACCCGGTTTCCACATGGGAACATTCAGTGAGAAGCTACTTTTCGACATTTTCGATATTTTTACAAAATTCCTTGGGCGTCATTGGGAAGAGCGTCAAAAAATATACGGAGAATTTTAATTAAGGAAATAAGGAAATTTCGGAGATTCGGAAAATACGAAATTTTGAAAAGTTAAGATTCTGATAGGTAACCCACATCCAGCAACCTTGCAGACTGCTGTTCGCCGACTTTTCCGCGGCCGTGGTGTTGATCTCGATGGGGGCCGTATTGGGCAAGCTGTCCCCGGTGCAGTACGTCATCATGGCCGTCATTGAAGTACCGGTGGCCGTCATCATGGAATGGGTCGTTGTCGACAAATTGATGGTCAGTTGCTGGACTTTGAGGCCAGCCCAATAGCCATCGCCCAAAAACTCCGTTTTTGGAGCAACTGGCACGGCTAATTCACACGTCGATGTCGCGTATTTTGCCGAAAAATGAACATTTTCGCACTGATTTCTGAAGATCCGGCTACAGGGTGCCCCAATAAAAATACGCCTTCTAACCCGAAGCAGACGTTTCGGATCGGAACGATAGTTACCCCATTCGAAAGCCCTTGTAACGGTGACTTGGCTGCTATCTTCAAAACCATGTTGTTGTTGAAATTCGGCGTTTCACAAACCATTTTGTCAAATTTTGCTGTTTTCGTGGCTGGATACCGGCTAATTTGCCCCAATTACACCAAACAAAAGGACCGGGTGGCCGTTAAAGGGATGCCCAACCTTGTCGGGGCTCAAAAAGTAAAAACCATGCCGCGGGCGGGGATCGAACCCGGGATCCCGGTTTGTAGGCCTGGATGCTATCCATTGGGCCATAGTGGCAAGCCATTGGGTGGGATGGGGACGCCACAAGAGGGAAAGGTGGAGGAATTCTGTGCGTCACTGGCGCCTCGTTGCCACAAAAAATTCGCGCGTCATTTGTACTGCCCGGAATACATAACTATATATTTGCCACCAAACCTTGGGTATCCCTTTAATTACATGCAGACGCCGGTCCTTCATGTTTTAAACGCGTTTTAACGTGACACCTTTCAATAAAAACATCGTTTTGAAGCTTGGTTCGACTCGCCGTTTCAAGGGCTTTCGAATGGTGTAACTACCATCCCGATCCGATACTTCTGCATCGTGTTAGAGAGGGGTGTCTTTTATTGGGGCACCGTGTAGCTGGAACTTCAGAAATTGGTACGAAAATGCTTCTAACTAGGTGTTCATTCAACACCTTGTTTTATAACGCATTTAAAATCAAGGAACGGCTTCTGGACCTAAGTAACGGCTTGGAAAAATTGAGGAATTGGCTCGTATGCGACCCCAAAAAACTGCCAAATCTTACAAAATTGCTTATAAAATAGCCTATTTAATTAAAAACGTTGTTTTGAAGGCTGTTTTGAAGGCCCGAAAACTGGCTGTTTCAAGGGCTGTCGAATGGTGTAACTATCATGCCCTGGGGCGTACGAGGGGGCAACAGGGCAAGTTGCCCCCCAAAATCGGCCGAGGGCCGAAAAATTCATAAGGGGGGACCCTTATGATTTTTTCAATAAAAATTTTTCTGCCTGCGGCGCTGTTTATTACTGTTTTTAAGACGGTTTTTACTTCTATTTTCTTCTACTTCCATTTTTCCAAAATTTTTTTGCCTGCGGCGCTGTTTTTCATTTGTGTGTCAACTGTGCATATAAAATTTTTGCCTGTTGAAAGTGGAAGTTAGAGGGGGTGTTTTTTATGGGACAACCTCTAATTGACGATTTGTATCGTTTTTAGATTAACGACGCCGGCGGCTCGATCGTCCTCCACACGTTCGGCGCCTATTTTGGGTTGGCCTGTAGCATGGTTGGTCTCCGAATTTTATTTCGTGAATTTTACTAAATTGATTCAATTCGATGCACTAAATTCTTAACAGCGTCAAACACGCAATTTCAGGTTCTACAACGCAATTCGCAGCGCGAGCACCCGAATGAGGGCTCCATCTACCACTCGGATCAATTCGCCATGATTGGTGAGTTTTTCGACGTGAATAAATTTTTTCTACAAGGTTGGCAGCGCGTTTTGCGATCGTACGAAAAAGAATAGCATTTTTAGCTAGTATACCAGGGTTGAAAAGCCGCTTCGCGACTTTTCAACCCTGGCCCCGTCTGATCCCATGAAATTCTTCACTTTACATAATTTTCACGAATTCAGATGACAAAAAAATGAAAACCACGTCCTCTCTCCCCTTATATGGGCGATTACTACTTCCGGTGTATGTTAATTGATTCCTAACAAAGAGGGTCCTTGAAAATTTTAGAAAAACTTGAATTGAACGTTGTAAATAGCTGATTTTGTAAAATCTTTTATATGTGCAGTCATCTCGAGGCCATTACGCATCTAATGACGTATCAAGCGTACCTTAAAAACCTTCCCTTTCCGAGATATCCTCCGGACAGAATGACGGAAGTTGCATGCAAAGTGGCACGGACACACACACAGACACTATTTTTTTTATATATAGTAGGATATTTAATGAAACATTGAAAAATCAATTGAACTTCCTGAAAATCGATGTTTCTAATAGTTGCAACTCTGGCTTAATTTTTAAATTCAATAATTTTCAAGTCCAAACAGGGAGAAAAGCTGATGCGGCGCGGTCGCATTGCGGCCGCATCTGGCTATTTGCCAGTAATCAACGCTGGGGGCCGTGGACCAGATTTCGGAGCCCCTTTAAAGGGATACCCAAGGTTTTGGCGGCAAATACATAGTTATGTATTCCGGCAAGTACAGATGACGCGCGAATTTTGTGCGCCAATGGGCGCCCATTGCCGCACATAATTCGGACACCTTTCCCTCTTGTAGCGTCCCCCTCCCCCTCAATGGCTTGCCACTATGGCCTAATGGATAGCATCCAGGCCTACAAATCGGTGTGATCGGGTTCGACCCCCGCCCGCGGCTCGGTTTTTGCTTTTTGAGCCCCGAAAAGGTTGGGCATCCCTTTAAACTTTTTAAACTTGCAACTTGCAGGTTCAATCTTCCTGTGGGTGTGCTGGCCTTCCTTTAATGCGGCAACGGCTACCCCATTGGATGCGAAGGAGCGTGCCGTACTCAATACCGTACTCTCGCTGGTTGGATCGACAATGGCTACTTTCATGCTGTCACAAGCCATCGATCGCCATGTATGTTTCATTTTTAATTCGCTACCATTAAATATTTATTATAAATTAAAAATAAATTATTAGCATTAATAAACCGCGTTTAATAATACAATATCTTAGAAGTGAAAACATAACCCTTGGGATATTTTTCGCTGCTCTATCAAACCGCGTTTTTAAAAAGTCGAAAAAATTATAAAGACTGTTAAAAATAAACTGATAAAATTAAAATGATCATTTTTGAGGTTGTTTTAGGTTTATATAAAAAACCTTTTTGTGTTAAAGTTTGGTTTTTACAGCGAAAATTCGACATGGTCACCATCGCCAACTCGACGCTGGCCGGCGGAGTTGCTATTGGTTAGTTCAAGGAAAATATCTATTTTATTAAAACTTTTACTAAAATCGTAAAATCACAGATCTCTAAGTGCTCCGTATACTAAAAATGTTTCAATTTTTCAGATTTTTTTTCAGGGACAATCGCCAACGTAATTCTCGAGCCGGTCTACGCCATTTTGATCGGCTTCATCGCTGGCATTGTCTCGGTGCTCGGCTACAAGTTCTTGACGGTATTTTTACGTTGATTTATCGATTAATGTTTCAGATAACATTATTTTTAAGGACATTAATCTTAATCTGAAATATTTTTGGCCATTCTCTCGCGCCTCGTCAATTTTGGCGCCAAGCCAAATAGTGGGTTGTAGCGCTCGAAACGGTGCATACTTTCCTGTGCCTGAAATTTTCTAAAATGGATGATACCATTTTTATAAGTGATTTTTAATCCATGAAAAAAAATGCCATGATCACGACAATGTGGAGGTTCAAGGGAAATTTTATTTCAATTTTTCAGCCGTTCCTTACGGAGCGTATCGGTTTGCACGACACCTGCGGCGTGCATAATCTGCATGGAATGCCCGGCCTGATTGCCGGCATCGTTTCCGTAATTGCCGTAACTTACCCGGAAGACGACTACGGTGCAAGGTACAGTAGCGTGCAAAAAGAAGGTAACACCCAGGAAGCTGTTGTAACGTAGCTTCCTCGTTATATTTTGGGCCAAATGGAGTTTTATAGTGTTTTCGATGCCGCTGAATCCGATGAGCAGAGTCGCAAGCCGCAACAATGATGTTTAGTAGCTGAAATATTGACTTTAAAATCTCTCCAAAAAATCGAATTTTTCTATAGGCGTTTTTCCATTTCAAAAACATCACCATCGTGTCCAGCATGGTCGATTTACCCGCATTTACACGATTTATTTACCCGGTGTAAGGGCGTTTTTTTGAATCACGAACACCCGATCAAAATCCAAGCGCTGAACATCGAATCACAGGGGGGGGGGACCTATTTCCGGCGTTTTGACAATTTTTGTGATTTTGACAAAGCCATGCGTAAGAGGGGCGGAAAACTATGTAACGAGTTTTTTATAGCCAGAAAAAACCCAACTGGAAAATATTTTTGTTATTATAAAAACCTTTTCGCTTGATTTTCGGCATTTTCATGCGAAAGTTACACGTTTATTTCACAAAAAAGTTAGTTTAATCTCCTTACGCGCCCCGTCAGCTCTGCTTTCTCAAATCGCCTTCAGAAAGCGGTCGTCGTCGGGTTGCCAGAAAAGGGGTAAAAATTGATGGCCGCACTCCAGCGCCCAAGGCCCGTGAAGCGGGATTTTCGTTGGTACTAGTTATTCTCTGAAATCAAAATCGCCTCAAATATGCGTTTTTCGGGCTATAAAAACCAACGCTGGTATATTTTTCGACCCTCTATCGAGCCATTATTGAAAATAGCGCAGATTCGCAAAAAGATCACCTTCTTTTTAGCTGTAATTAGACATCTTCATACGTTTTTAGAAGCTCTAGCGAACGGCGCTAAAGAATGACGAAAAATGGCAAAAACCTCGAAAATTAGCTTAGCAGCTCGTTTTGCACAGGCCCAACTCCCCCCCCCCGCTAGCGAACCAGAACCAAAACCAAAAGATGTTTCCAAAAATCGTACCCTTCTGACGGAGTTTTGTAAATAGTGAGTCCTGATTTTCAATTACGGCGACATAGAGAACTCTCCCGAAAACTTGCTCCATTTTCAGCATCAACAACATCTACACGGGAGTTCGATCGACGGGTAGCGGAGGTCGCGGCTATTCGTATGGGGTTCAGGTAAAAAAGTGAAATCTTAAAGTTACCCAGGAATAGCTTAAAAGAGGGTAAGAGTTTACTTTACCCCCCACAGCCCCCCCACAGAGTTGTCGGTATTTTCGCTTATTTTGTCGGGATTTTTGCAAGGCCATTCGATAGAGCGTCGAAAAATATTCTAAGAGTTTTAATTTGAGCCTACAATAATGTAAAAGAAAAAAGTTATAGCCAAAAACTTCCGGCTGGCGGGGGTAAAGTAAACCGTAGCCTAAAAGAGAATGAAAGAGATCCGCTCTTAAAGACCGCTTGAACTCTGGAACGCACACTGTCACCCCGAGGGTGCTGCCCCCAAGAACGCGCGGAGAGAGGCGTCATTAGTGGTGCCCCGTATTGGGCAAAGGCTCTCTGGGGTTTGGGGCACCTCTAACTCCTTTCCCCACTCGGCCCTGTGGTATAGTGGCTAGCGCGTCGAATTGTGGAGCAAACCATCGCGGGTTCGACCCCCGCCCGCTTCATTTTCACTTAATATTCTAATGGTCGATTCCGACGAAAACCTTACGAAGAACGGATAAAGTTTATTTTTGTTGTATCTTGAAAATTAAAAAATTAAAAAAAATAATGCCGGAGGGGTGCTTTTTTATGGAACACCCTGTTGAAAAATCGCAAAGCGACTTTTCAACCCCGTTTTTCGGTATTAAAATTATTATTCTGTAAAGATCTCGACCAACCACGTGGTTAAGAGGCCACTAGCATGCGCCGGAGGTTGTGATAGCCTACATTTAGGTTGAAAAGCCGCGAAGCGGTTTTCAGAGAAAAAGGTGCCGCATTCACTCCTTTCATCATTCTAAAACAAATTGTAATTAATGCTATTCAGGCGACTCATCAACTCGCCGCAATGTTCATCATCCTCGGCGCTTCCTTACTTTCCGGCGCGCTGACAGGTAATGTAATGTACTTTTGTAGCGTTATTTTCTTGATTAATGCTATTTTTACTGATTTTCATTAATATTTCTAAAATTTTCAACTAAATTAGGCTAATTAATTTATATGATTTTTTCATAGAGTACTCAAATGCGCGCAAAAATGAGGAGCCGCACAAAAAAAAGAGAATTTAGGAGCGCCTGAAACTTCGTAAATTAAACGCTACGAAATAGGAGAAAAGCGTTGTGTTTAAGCTTTTCTTTTGCAGTTTCCAAATGTTTTGGACAGCCGTAAGGTTCCTTGTTTGTAAAAAAATTGCGTGCTATTTCAGGCTTACTTCTTCGACTAAAGTTCTGGCGCCAACTCGATGACGAGGCCCAATACTCGGATGCCGAATTCTTCGAGATCCCAGATGATTTTGAGAGAGTGACGGCCACGGCCCGGGAATGAAACGAAATACTGGTAATGATTGCGGCGAGCATAAATAAATACATTTGAGCATTATTTCGTTTTAGTAGTAGACCAGGGGTGGGGAGCCGCTTCGCGACTCTCCCCCGCTGGACCCCGTCTAGGCACTATGAATCTGTCTAGACACTTTCACAACACGTTACCCAGATAAAGTCATTCTTCTATTTCTTTGTACCAATAATTATAGTATGCCCTTTTGAAACATATTGAAGAAATACTGATCTACAGGCAAAAACATTTCAAGACCGTCCGCTTTCTTTTGATCTGTAGCGCTACCGACTGACTGACTTTCATGGGGCCTGCAGCGCTAGCCTGAGTAGCGAGCTTTGTCTCTAAGCCTGTGGCGCAAGCTTGAGTTTCGACACCACCATTACGTAGCCTATAGTTGTCTAATTCGTAAGCCTGCGACGCTACTTTGAAAGGTTAGCTTTATTCTTTAGCCTGCGTCGCTAGCCTGTGCGGCTAACTTCGTGCTAAAGCCTGCCGCACAAGCTTGAGGGTTCAGCCTGAATCTTTAGCCTGCTGTGTTGGATTCAGCGGCTAGCTTGAATATTTAGCCTCCGGCTCCTCCTTTTAAGCCTGCGGCGCTTGCTTGAAGATCCTACTATATATAAAAAAATAGTGTCTGTGTGTGTGTGTGTGTATATTTGCATGCACTTCCGTTTGGATGTTCCGCACCTACAGGTTCAGGGAAGCCTTTTTTGGTGAGGGAAAAAAGGCAAAGGGGGAAAAAGGGGGGGGGAAAGAGCCACACATAAAAGTTTTGAAAAATTGCTAATTTTTTTTTTATATAAATATGGTTTTTTTTAAGGTTTCTGCCAAACTCTTTGTTAGCAAGCAATTAGCATACGCCGGAAGTGGAAGGGGTTGTAAAAAGGGAGGGGGGAAATGGGTTTATAAAAAAAGGGGGGGGGGGGGGGTTTTTTTTTTTTGAGCGGTTTTGAAGGTTTGGTTAAAAATCAAAAATTTCATCGGGCGGGGGGCCCGGGTTGAAAACCGCGTGGTTTTTCAACCCTGTTATATAAAAATATTTTGTGTTTGTGTGTGTTGTGTGTGTGTGTGTGTGTGTGTGTGTTGTTTTTTTTGCATGCACTTCCGTTTGGATGTTCCGCACCTACAGCCTCAGGGAAGCATTTTTTCGGTAGTGAAGAAACGTCATTAGGTAAAGAAGGGCCCGGAATCGACTGCACACACATAAAATCTTCGAAAAATTGTTATTTTCGCTATTAAAATTAGGTTTTTGTAAAAATCTTGGCTTCGCTCTTTGTTAGGGAAAAATTAGCATACGCCGGAAGTGGAAATGGCTTATAACAAGGACGTCTTCAATAACATGGAAATCCACTTTAAAACATACTTTCCGAGCAAAAAGCAAAACATCCACCGCAGCTGGGGCTCGAACCCCCGATGGTCATGTAGGCAGGCTGAGGCTCTAACCGCTACACCACGAAACCCTTGGAAGAAAGCGCGAAACAAGTCCTTTATGCGTTGCAGGGGACTGCCCTGGGGAGGGGAGGAAAGGCAATGAAAGGTAGATCTAAGCAAACGACAACACGCGCGCGTGCAATCGGCAAAAATGAGGAATTTGTGTTTTTTTTCATGCAAATTAGCCCTACCGGACCCCCAAAAATCAATAAAACCGGCTTTCACTTTGAAACTTGTATCTTATCCGGACCCTGTAAACGCCATCGGAAACAGAAGGGTCGATGCCTCCGAGTGACGGAGAATTGGGGCGTTTTAAACACGGGAAGGGCCTGAAATCGGGTCTGGAAAGTAACGGCTGTACCCACACACACACACACACACACATCCAGAGAGACACGCTTATAAGGTAGGATACTCATTGTATGTAATTATTATTATTAAATTTACACAACAATAGCTTTTATCTATATACCAGCCGATTACAGCCGCTTCGCGACTGTAATCGACTGGCCTTCGGGCTACCCTCCATGTTATACACCACCACATTACACCTCTACCTTCATCAATACCCACGCTGGTCGCTTCAGATACCTTCTATGGCCAACCCCTGCTAAAACTTAGCTACTTTACTTGGCTTTAGATACTTCCGCTCGCCGAAATCCTCTCAAAAAAACTACATCGATACCTTCCTGATGGCTTCAGATACCCCCATGGCTGAAATCCCCTTCAAAAACAACTTAAATACCTTCCTGATGGCTTCAGATACCCCCATGGCTGAAATCCCCTTCAAAAACTACCTAAACTTTCCTGATGGCTTCAGATACCCCCATGGCTGAAATCCCCTTCAAAAACTACCTAAACTTTCCTGATGGCTTCAGATACCCCCCATGGCTGAAATCCCCTTCAAAAACTACCTAAATACTTTCCTGATGGCTTCAGGTACCCCCCATGGCTGAAATCCCCTTCAAAAACAACTTAAGTACCTTCCTGATGGCTTCAGATACCCCCATGGCTGAAATCCCCTTCAAAAACTACCTCAATACCTTCCCGATGGCTTCAGATACCTCCCCTAGCCGAAATCCCCTTAAAAAAGACAAAAATAACGACCGACCGGATGGAATGAGAAAAAAAAGAAATGAAATCCCCCGTGAAAATTTTCATCCACGAAACGCGCGCGACCTGGCTCACTATGTCCAAAATCATCCCAACCTCCGTCCCCCACCCCTTTTACTAAGGAAAAAACTTTCAAAGTTAATTTTAATAATTTAAACTAAAAGTTTTTCATAATTTTTTTATCAGTTTGGGGGTTTCTGACCACGCTCTATCCGAATCCGAAGAGACCTAAGCTCTAGCTCCTTCCCCCTTCGAGTTGAATTCGGCTTCAGACACACAGACAGACGGACGTCTCTACTTTTTTATTATAGTTGATAGATCAACAATAGCTATTTATGCCTTCAAAATACAGGGTGAGGCATATATATGGCAACACCCCCAGACCATACTAATTTGCCTGCTATCGGTAAACTAATTATTTGTTTCTTGGGATTGGATGTTTCTCATAAAAGAACTAGCGTTTCTTTTTGCAGGAGACAAATGAAGACGGTTGCAAAATTTCTAATTTTTGATTTATATGAACTGGAAGTTTCGCGATTTTGGTGAAAAAACGGGGTGTCGGCACGCTGCTCCTAGAACCCCGGATATTGGTAGCCCTGCTCCATGGTTTTGTATTTAAGTTTAGTTTGATCGTATTTATTTGTACCAAAATTATTTTAGTCGGGAACTGGCGAGGGAATTTTGCTATATTCAAAAAACGCGCGCTTACCCACCCCTGACCACCCTTACGTTGGCCACTAAAAATTAATTATAAAATCCCTGCCAATTGTATTGCTCTATTTAAGCAATTGTTTACATTGTAGGCATCGGATAGAACCAATGCCAGATGTTGAAACCAAGCAATTCAACGATTAAAGATAAAAAAGGCAATTTTATTTTTTTTACTATGATTTTTGGGGTCAGCCGAGAACAATTCTAAAATTTCTGCCTACTCAAAGTAAATGCATGGCTTTAATTACCTTTATCTGTCACTACTAGGTGGTACACATGTTTTTTGGGGCCATTCGTGCCTAAAAAAACGTTTCTGAACCATGCTGAAAGTGGCTTCCAAGGGGTTCCGTGCCAGCGCCACCCTTACGACGCACAGTTTTTGCTTCAGAACAAAAGTTTGTAGGGTTGCTGCGTTCTAATATTTTAAGAGTGGTTACAGGGCACTGGTGGCTATATTTCGCAAAATTATTGAAGCCCAGCCAGCTTTCTTCATTTTTTGAGAGACCCGGGAAAGTGTTGCCATATATATGCCTCACCCTGTATATGCCTACGATTGTTTTCATGAAAATTCAGTTATTAAAATTCGAAGTATCAACTATAATAATTTTGCTGTGGTCTCTGTCCGTCTGTCTGTCTGAAGCCGAATTCAACTCGAAGGGGAAAGGAGCTAGAGCTTAGCTCTCTTCGGATTCGGATAGAGCGTGGTCAGAAACCCCCAAACTGATAAAAAAATTATGAAAAAGTTTTAGTTTAAACCAGATGGTTACAGTCGCTTCGCGACTGCAACCATCTGGCCTTCGGGCTACCCTACATGTCCCACTCCACCACATCCTTTCCCACCTCCATCAATACCCCCCGTGGCTGAAATCCCCGTCAAAAACTACCAAAATACCTTCCTGATGGCTTCAGATACCCCTCATGGCTGAAATCCCCTTCAAAAACTACCTAAATACCTTTCTGATGGCTACAGGTACCCCCCATGGCTGAAATCCCCTTCAAAAACTACCTAAATACCTTTCTGATGGCTACAGATACCCCCCATGGCTGCAATCCCCTTCAAAAACTACCTAAATACCTTTCTGATGGCTACAGATACCCCTCATGGCTGAAATCCCCTTCAAAAACTACCTAAATACCTTTCTGATGGCTACAGGTACCCCCCATGGCTGAAATCCCCTTCAAAAACTACCTAAATACCTTTCTGATGGCTACAGGTACCCCCATGGCTGAAATCCCCTTCAAAAACTACCTAAATACCTTTCTGATGGCTACAGATACCCCCATGGCTGCAATCCCCTTCAAAAACTACCTAAATACCTTTCTGATGGCTACAGATACCCCTCATGGCTGAAATCCCCTTCAAAAACTACCTAAATACCTTTCTGATGGCTACAGGTACCCCCCATGGCTGAAATCCCCTTCAAAAACTACCTAAATACCTTTCTGATGGCTACAGATACCCCCCATGGCTGAAATCCCCTTCAAAAACTACCTAAATACCTTTCTGATGGCTACAGATACCCCCATGGCTGAAATCCCCTTCAAAAACTACCTAAATACCTTTCTGATGGCTACAGATACCCCCCATGGCTGAAATCCCCTTCAAAAACTACCTAAGGACCTTCCCGATGGCTTCAGATGATTTAAATAATTAATTAGCATAATTAAAAAGTATTAAAAAGTATTAAAGTAACTTAAAAAGCTATTTGGGGGCGGGAAAGGGCCTGGGGAAG